ACCAGAGACCTCTGGCAAAACTGTAAGCACTAGGAGTCACTGGCTTTGCACTATGCCTCCTCAGTGATTACCTTCAAAGCAGATGTCTAAGCATAGCTCTCAATGGGACAGAGTCAACAAGACTCAGTATTGTTCCACAAGTAAGTGTGGAAGAATGGGACAGAGTCAACAAGACTCAGTATTGTTCCACAAGGAAGTGTGGAACAATGGGACAGTGTCAACAAGACTCAGTATTGTTCCACAAGGAAGTGGGAACAATGGACAAGTCAACAAGACTCAGTATTGATCCACAGGAATGTGGAACCATTGGGACCGAGTCCACAAGACTCAGTATTGGTTCCCACAAGGAAGTGGTGGAACCAATGGGGACAGAGTCAACAAGACTCAGTATTGTTCCACAAGGAAGTGTGTTTGGGCTCTTGTTATGAATTGTCTACTTCAATGACCTTCAACTCATCCTAGAATCCCATGAATATGCAGATGACTCTAGTCTGACATTTATCCAAGAGAGGAAATGCCATCTGTTCTAAGTTACATCAATCACAAGCTAACAGTTATGTAATAATAATAATAATAATAATAATAATAATAATTATTATTATTATTATAATAATAATCTTTATTTCTACAAGTACATGTACAAGGTACACGGATGTGACCGACATCAATGACAAACTACTACTTCTTGTTATGCAGAGCATTTTGGGCAGATTAGGTGAGTTTTGTTCTCAGGATGCAACCCACACCAGATGACTAACACCCATGTACCTATTTTACTTGTAGGTGAACATGGACAACAGGTGTCTTAAGGAAACACATCCTAATGTTTCTATCCATACCAGGAATTGACCCACGGACCTCAGTATATGAGGTGAGTGCACTAGAGATAAAGATATGGAACATCGTCAACCTAGGAAAAATGATGGCACGTCACATTTGCTCCTGAGATATCGTAAATTATTATGGTCTCTAGGCACCATGAGAGTAATGCTGAAGCTATGGTAAGAATGAATGGGAGAGTGTTAGTACTTGGGATGAACTTGACATCCTTGGGGTGAAATTTGACTCCAAACTATGAAGAACCACATTGTAGATCTTGCAAACAAAGCAGTTGGTAACCTTACTTAAATGTATCTTGCATCTGCTCGACAGTAGAGGTTGCAAGATTCTGTGTGAGGCATAAGTATATTCACACGTTGAGTATACTCCACTTTCTTGGATTGCTTGCTCCCCATCACATCTGAGACTTCTAGACAGAATGGAGAAGAGAGCAAAATAACTCGTCTCCTGCCTGGACAGATCTCTCATTTCAGTAGAATCTTCAACACCAGAGAGATGTGGGTGGCCTTACTGTTATATACAAGGATAATATTGTCAAAGTACCACACTTGGCTCCACTCCGCAGACAACAGGAAATGAGCTTCTACACAACAAGACAGCAAGGAGCAATTACACTGTAGCCTTCTAGAGAACATCACTTCATCCGAGATCATTTATTCCTAGGATTACTTGTTTCTAGAATATGTTTGTACAGCATAATGACATCAACAGAATAGTCAGTTGGCCAAATAAAATCACTGACCCACAGTTAACTACAACTGTACCCTTTTCCGTATGTGTATGTCTCATAAAAATAACAAAGCTTTAACATGAGTTGATGTAGGTAACAGCTCTTAACTTGTAAATAAAGTTAGGAACCCTTAACCCAACCTTGTAAACTCTGTCTAAAGTTAAAAGAGATATCAAAGCAAATTGTATTAGTTTCTTCTTTGTGTGTCTGGTCATGTAACCAATACAGCACACTGTGGTCTTACATTGTATTTATGAAGTTTTAGCAATATATACCTTCATTAAGTTGTATGTGGTGGTTAATATGAAGAAGTTTGACAACATATACCTCCAGTGTATGTATGTTGTATATGGTAGTAATATCAAGAAGTTTGACAATATATACCTGCAGTATGTATGTTGTATATGGTAGTAATATGAAGAAGTTTGACAATAATAAACCTGCAGTAATGTATGGTTGTATATGGTAGTATTATGAAGAAGTATGAACAACCCAATACCTCCAGTGTATGTTATGTTGGTATATGGTATAATATGAAGAAGTTTGACAATATATACCTGCAGTATGTATGTTGTATATGGTAGTAATATCAAGAAGTTTGGCAATTCTTTTAACTTTCAAGATTGTCTATAAAATTCAGCATGAACACTTAATTGATGAGTAACTTAATAGAATTCAATTCTACTGGCATAAAATCTAACCTGTTTAAATTCAATCCTATTAGTGAAAAATCTAACTTAATAATTTATTTCTACAGGATAACGACAAACTCAGAGAGTGTAAAGTGGTGCTTTAACAATAAGACGAAAACTACGACGACCACGCACTCTGCCGTGTGGTCACACATTCTGCTCACAGTGTACTAAGATACAAGTCCAAGAATGCTCAGCTCACTGTCCACTTGTCGTGACTGAGCGACGAAGTGCACAGATGCTACTCATTCCGATCAACTATGCTATGGAGGCTGTGATAAAGAAACTGCAGAAGTATCCAGGTTGCATCAGTGGGAACAGTGTCAACAAAATGGTCAAGATCACACAAGAGACATCAGGAAAAAGTTACAGTCTTGCACAGGAACACAAGAGCAGTATCAGTAACCTATAAATGAAGTGTGAAGAAGCACTGTCCCCAGCTGAGCAAGTACCAGGGACAGGTGAGGGACTGGAAGACCCGCATCACCAACTGCAGACAGACTCTATGATCTGCTGAGCAGACAAGGCAGCAGTAGAGCTCCTGGAACAGGAGGATACCAGTGTCCGACATGACAACAGAAGGAAGGCAAGGAAAGAAGCACTGCAGACCATGCTGGAAACCTCAACACAGTCAACACTGCACAGGAAGTGTCTACACAACCATTGATGAAGCTGATCACTACAATGTGGAGGAAGAAGATTGGGGATGAAAGAAGTGTCAGCACTCCTTCCCAGATGTCAACCTGTCTACACCCAGTAAAGGTATGAATGCCAACAGACATTATTGAACTTTCCAAATAATTCTTAGTTAATTTATATAATTGATTCTGTTATTAAATATAACAACTCAAGAGTCAATATTCAGTTATTATTAAATATATTAATCTTTCTTCTTTCAACACACCAGCCATATCCCACTGAAGGAGGGTGACCCAAAAAGAAAAACAAAAATTTCTTTATAAATTTAGTAATGTACAGGAGAAGGGGTTACTAGCTCCTTGCTCCTGGCATTTTAGTTACCTATTACGACATGCATGGCTTATGAAGGAAGAATTCTCTTCCACTTCCCCATGGAGATAAGAGGAAATAAACAAGAAAAAGAACTTGTAAGAAAAGAGAAGAAATCCCAAAGGGGTGCATTTGTATGTTTGTACATGCATGTGTTGTTTGACCTAAGTGTAAGTAGAAGTAGCAAGACTTCTACTTGCATATTTATGACACAGAAAAAGACACCAGCAATCATATCATTATGTAAAACAATTAGAGGCTCTTGTTTTACTCACTTGGTAGGACAGTAGTACCTCCCTGGGGGGTTGCTGTCTACCAATTTACTACCACCGGATAATAGTACCTCCCTGGGTGGTTGCTGTCTACCAACCTACTACCAGAGGATCACAGTGCCTCCCAGGGTGAATGCTGCCTACCAACCTACTCCCACAGGATGGCAGTACCTCCCTGGGTGGTTGCTGTCTACCAACCTACTACCAGAGGATCACAGTGCCTCCCAGGGTGAATGCTGCCTACCAACCTACTCCCACAGGATGGCAGTACCTCCCTGGGTGGTTGCTGCCTACCAACCTACTACCACAGGATGGTAGTACCTCCCTGGGTGGTTGCTGTCTACCAACCTTCTACCACAGGATTGTAGTACCTCCCTGGGTGGTTGCTGTCTACCAATCTACTACCACAGGATGGTAGTACCTCCCTGGGTGGTTGCTGTCTACCAATCTACTACCACAGGATGGTAGTACCTCCCTGGGTGGTTGCTGTCTACCAATCTACTACCATAGCAGGAAGGTAGTACCTCCCTGGGTAGGTTGCTGTCTACCAAATCTACTACCACAGGATGGTAGTACCTCCCTGGTTGGTTGCTTCAAGAGATATCCAAGGAAGGTTGAAGAAAGGTACAGGTGATATGCTAGGAAGGGTTGAAGGATGGTACAAGGGATATCCTAGGAAAGGTTGAAGGAAGGAACATGGGATATCCAAGATGGTGAAGTAGAGGTACAGGTGGATATCCTAGGATTAAAATGATATCCTAGGAAGTTAAAAGGGATATTCTAGGAATTGTTGAAAAGATTGTACAGAGGAAATACGTATTAGAAGCGTTTGAAGAAAGTACGTGATATTGCCTTGGAAGGGTTGAAGGGAGGTACAGGGAATATATTAGGAAGGGTTGAAGGGAGGTACAGGGGATATATATTAGGAGGGTTGAAGGAGGTACAGGGAAATATTAGGAAGGTTTGTAGGGAGGTACAGGGATATATTAGGAAGGGTTGAAGAGAGATACAGGGATATATTTAGGAAGGGTGATATGGGAGGTACAGGGGAGATATATTAGGAAGGGGTTGAAGGGAGGTACAGGGGATTATATTAGGAAGGGTTGAAGGGCGGTACAGGGATATCTAACGAAGGGTTTGAAGGGAGGTACAGGGGGATATATTTAGGAAGGTTGAAGCGAGATCAGGGGATATATTAGAAGTCTGTAGGGGAGTACAGGGTATATATTAAGCAGTTGAAGGGAGGGTAGTGAGTTAAATATATAAGACATAAGTCTGAGTAATCAACAGTTGTGAAAGTGTCAGAGTGGAGACAAGTTGTTACTGACATCCAGCATTATTGTTTGTGTTGGTAAATTGACAGTACAGGAGACCCTTAAGAAGGCCCTGGACACCAATCACCACAGAGACAGGTGCACAGCTGCCACTGTTTTCCTGGGGGGCAGAAAAAAAACTCAGCCACCACCATCATGGAGAAAGTTAAGATAATTACTGGTGAAATCCCTCCAGTTACATTAACTGTAAGTTGACTAAGTCTTAGTTTATTTTTTTCATGTCATACACTAATTAATCATAATAAGCATATCACAAGATTTCATTTTAAAATTACCTACTTTCTTATTCCTATAATATGGTAACAAACTTGCTACCTAACTTATTTATACACAACTTTTCATAATATTTTGACTGACGGTTTTTCCTAATATCCATAAAGTTGTCATAGTCACAAAAATAGACCTTGTATAAACTAAACCAACTGAACGGCTCCTCTCCAACTCTCTGAACAGTAAATAAACTGAATGACTTCTTCTCCTACCATAGTAATAAATATAGCTGAAATGTTCTGAGCTCTCAGCCCAGTTTAGTTATTACCTAACTGATTAACGATCATACTTCCCCTACCTAATACAAACTAATTCTACCTACATTACTTCTATAATAAAGTCCACTAACAAAGCCACCCAAAGATATTTAAATGCCTACTGATATATAGAAAGTTGTTCCCTTTATGTGTTACTCAACTATTGAACAGTAGGGCGCCACTCAATACAGCATGTTAGGTTTAAGGTTATCGTCAGAAAAATGAAAGTGGGCATTGCCAGTAAGTCGAAACAAACACCATATTTCTGCTATAAATGCTTCAAATACCAGATAAGTTTACTAAACATATACAACCTCTCCACTCTTAACAACGGAGTTTCTGGTCCTAAGACAACAATGGTAAACAAATCGTCACTAAGTGAAGAGCAATACTATAATGGTTAGTTGGGTTTTCCAGTCAACCCATTTAAACATTTCTGGTACATTATTGAATGTTTTTACAGTAGTGTACTGTAAGTCGTAATAAACAAAATAGAGGATAATCAGCTCTAATATGCATTGATTTTAGGTTATGTATACTGTCAGAGAGCCCAACATAAGTCTGAGTACCAACGGTAAAACAAGTTTGTCGACTAATAAGGAAAGCTGTATTAATGCTAACAGTAAACTTGCATAACAAACCAAATAAAAAGTAAAATACATACAACAGTATTATCATTACATAAAATATTTGTGAGTACTTAATGAAGGTGAAGAGTGAGTAGAATTTATTTGTAGAAAGTCGGTGTAGTAGACCTGGCTCTCAATCCCAAATGTAATACTTAATAAGTATAAACTGTTATAACTGTCCATATGTAGATCTACTTTGTTACTGTGCTGGTGCTCCAAATGGTGATCAATATATTAACTTTCCTGTCTCCAATATGCCTCAAATGACCTAAGATGCTGGTAAGTATACAATGGGACCTTAACACCTGGTATGAGCAATATTAAAAAATTTGGACTCACTTTAGTACCATTGTGGGAGCACCAGATCAATTGAGAAACAGATAGAACAAAGAACATGGCAAACACCATGGATTCACTGATGTCATATTAGCACTTCCCTATGAAGAACAGTTGACCCTTAGATTCATGGCTTTATGAGATCGATGTTTTCCACAAGTGGTCAAGGAAATATAAAAAACCTCAATAATTACCCAGGTGCACATTGAGCCAACATCCTATCATTTTTGATACCACTGGTATCTCATCCTGCAGAATATCCTATAGCCTACGCCCTAAGTAAAGAGGAAAATAATTTCTGAATGTGTAATAAGTTGTTCAGCAGGTTGCTGTGCCGGGTAGGTGGGTGGCTGATTGACTTTGTTGTCCCTCTATTATTTCTGTCTGTACTATTTCTGTCATGTATCAATTCTCCATTGCATATAACTCTGTCTATCTCTGTTTGTATATATCTCTGTCTCAGTCTATCCCATCTCCTGTCTCTCCCTTATCTCACAGGTACACATAAGCACAGTTATCATACAAAGTATAAAATTACATAGGATAATCCCAAAAAATCCAGACAAAGTGTGATACCTGTGGCTTGTAGAAAAAAGACACGTGTGATAGCTGGTGCTTGTAGAAATAAGACAAAATTAACATGACTGCACGTAATACACCATTTTTCACTTGATCAGGAACCAGACATGATGACTCTGCTCCGTGTTGTAATACCTCTTGGTTCATGCAAGTGGTCTCTCTGATACAGAGAGACAACAGAGACATAGAGTGGTGTTCCTCTGATACAGAGAGACAGACAGAGCAGGAAGACACAAATGCAGACAAAAGACAATAAGCAAGACAAATAACATGTTACATGTTTAATGTATAACATGAAAAGACATAAATCATGGTACTCTGGAGCATGCATGATCATCAAGTGTCACTGAACTGCTGCACTGTCAGCAGTGGCATGATCATCGAAGTGTCACTGAACTGCAACACTTCAGCAGTGCATGATCATCAAGTGGTCCACTGAAACTGCTGCACTGTCAGCAGTGCATGATCATCAATGTCCACTGAACTCTACACTGTCAGCAGTACAGGAACATCAAATGTCACTGAACTGCTGCACTGTCAGCAGTGCATGATCATCAAGTAGTCCCCCACTGAACTGCTACAACGGTCAGCAGTACAAGATCATCAGTGTTCACTGAACAGCTGCACTGTCACAGTGCATGAATCAATCAATGTCACTGAACTGCTGCACTGTCAGCAGTGCATGATCATCCAAGGTCACTGAACTGTCTGCACTGTCACCAGTGCAGATCATCCAGTGTCACTGCACTGCAACACTGTCAGCCAGTGCATGATCATCAAGTGTCCACTGAACTGCTACACTGTCAACAGTGCATGATCATCAAGTGTCCACTGACTGCGCACTGTCAGCAGTGCAATGATCATCAATGTCACTGAACTGCTGCACTGTCAGCAGTGCATGATCATCAAGTTGTCACTGAACTGCTACACTGTCAACCCCACGCAGTACATGATCATCAAGTGGTCACTGAACTGCTACAAACTGTCAGCAGTGCTGATCATCAAGTGTCACTGAACGGCTACACTGTCCCAGTACATGATCATCAAAGTGTCACTGAATTGCTACACTGTCATGCAGTGCATGATCCATCACGTGTCACTGAACAGCTGCACTGTCAGCATAGCCATGATCATCAAGTGTCACCTGACTCTGGCACTGTCCAGCAGTGGAGCATGATCAATCAAGTGTCACTGAACTGCACACTGTCAGCGTGCATATCATACAGTGTCACGGAACTGCTGACACTGTCAGCAGTGCTGATCAACAAGGTGTCCACTGGGGTGAACGCTCACACTGTCACCAGTTGCATGCATCAGTGTCACTGAACAGCTGCACTGTCCGGCAGTGCATGAATCATCAAGTGTCACTGAACTGCTACACTGTCACCAGTGGCATGATCATCAATTGTCACTGGGAACTGCTACAGCTGTCCAGCAATGCATGAACATCAAGTGTCACTGAACAGCAACACTGTCAGCAGTGCATGAGATCATCAAGTGTCACTAACTTCTGCACCTGGTCAGCAGTGCATAGATCATCAAGTGTCACTGAACTGCTTACACTGTCACCAGTGAGCAGGATCCATCACGTGTCACTGACTGCTCACACGTCAGCAGAAGCATGAGATCATCAAGTGTCACTGAACTGCTACACTGTCAGCAGTGCATGATCATCCAAGTGTCAATGAACTGCACACTGTCAGCAGTGCATATCAAACAAGTTCACTGAAACTGCTACACTGGTCAACATGGAGTGACACTAACTTACAACCTTCCTTCAAAAAGTTCTTACATACTCCACCATCCTCTAAAACATTGGTACCAAGACACATAGGCAACAGTTAGACATATTAAAACCAAAACGTTTCACCTACACAGTAGACTTCTTATCATTGAGTACAGAAAGTAGCAGGAGTAGTAGAGAAGTGGAAGACAATGTAATTCAGTCCATCATCCATGAAGTTTGGAGAATTGAGGTTGCCAGTCCTCAGCCTGGAGAAGAGTTTCTGTTCCATACTCTCAAACAATGTGGAGATCAGTGTAGAAGTGTAGAAGCTTTCAAGAGGAAACTGGAGAAGTAATCTTCACCAGGTGCCATATCAACCAGGCCTGTGATGGATAATGTGGGGCAGTGGGCCTCCAGCAGCAACGCCTGGTTGACAGGAAAGTACCCAGATGAGCCTGGCCCATGGCAGCACAAGAGTAGATAAACTCTTGAAACTTTTCAAGGTATACAAAGGTATCAAGCAACAGCGTTGAGACATATATACAGTGATCTCGGTTACTAAAATTATTCATTCAAGAGAGCTTGTTCCTTAACTGATTTATTGTTAGCCGAATTAATTTTCCCCATAAGATATAATGGAATCCAATAATCTGTTCAGACACCCGAAAGTACGTATTAGAAAAAAATTTTCAAATGAAATATCCATTTTCCAACACAGAAAACAAATGAGACATGAAGAATAAATATATGAAGAATAAAAGACACTTATCCTTACTGAAGATTTATTGATGATGATGAAGAGGGGGAGGGGAAGTGATGGAGGTGTAGTATTGTTGGAAGGGGAATCCCCATCCATAAGGACTTAGGTAGCAAGTCCTATTACGGGGATACATCCCTTCTTTGTTTTTAATGCTACTGGGAACAACTTGACATTCTCTGGTACCTCAGTCCGCACCAAAAATCTGCCATAGTGCTCTGTATCCTGGCACGTTCCCTTAAGATATCCCCTAATTGGGGCACAACATTGTCATTGTAAAAGTCACCAAGCATGGCTTCAACAGCTTGTCGGGGTGATGTTCATCATAAAGGCTTGCACTTTGTCCACATTGACAAAAGTCCTTACTTGTTGAAGAAGGCAACTTCCTCCTAACTCTCTCCCCTCCTCTCTGAAACATTTCCCTCAGCTGTGAGGTCTCTGCTGTTGCAGATGCTCTTCAGCTCATCAGTGCTTATTCTTCATCATCGTTCTCCACCAACTCTTCCACATCCTCCCCACTAAACCTCCAACCCCCATTGACTCCCCATGACACAATAGATTCCACAACTGTATAGGCTCTCTCAGGTTTACCCAAAATCCTTCAAAATCCCTCTCTTGTACAATAATTAGGC